CGGCCCTGAGCCCGCCGCCGCTGCCGCCCTGGTGCCTGCCCCACCGACGCCACTCAGGTCGTAGCCGGATAGGAAACAAGTCATACCGCGGGCCGCGCCGCCCCGTGGGAGCCCATAGCCATTGCAAGAGTATTTTTGTTCCTCGATGAGAGAAATAAAGAATTGCAGCCCTTTGTTTTCAGAAGGGAGTGTTTGACATGCTTTCTCCTGGCCCCCCAAGAATCCACGGCTGCATCTCATAGGCAAAGCGCCAGCCCCGGCTCGGGCACCATTGTCACTGCCATCCAGCCGCGGGCGTCCCCAGGACGGGCACCGGACAACCTACCTCGCAGGGCGCCTCAGGTGGAGCCGGCTCCCTGCTCAGAACGGTGGGGCTGCTCGGCGAGGGAGCTCTCCGAAGACCCTTGGCTCTGGGAAGCAAAGGGTGTGCACGCCCCGGCCGCGCAGATGCCACAGCCAGGCTGGGCCGCCCCTGCAGACATTGGCACAGACGCGGCTGGAGGTGCCCAGGAGACAGGCAAGGAGTGGCCGGTGATCGCCGTGTCCCGTCCCCCCCCAACCCTGCTCTGATCCCAACCTGCCCCTCGTTCCAGAGGGAAGGTCAGAGGGAGGCCGGGGAGGAACCCCACCCCACCACCCTACTGCACCTGTCAGGGTTGGCCCCTGCGTAGGCCACTGGTGCCCCACCCGGTTCCGAGCACCTTGTGGGAGCAGTCCAGCCTCTGAGTGGTCTCATTTGGTGCCTCCTACACTTCTTGAGGAAAACAAAACGATGTGTCCTTAGCTACCTGTTGTGAGCGGCAATATGCAGTCCCTCCCCTCCGAGATTACCTCTGGACAAGGAGCGCTCTGCCCGCAGGGAGCCCTCGGTCGGTCTGTTGGCCTGGCCACAGACCTGTGACCGAGGGAGCCTTAGCACAGCTGGAGCAGCCCCCAGGAGGAAAGTGCACGCCTGGCCTAGCAGAGCGAGCCCTCCAGGCGTGTGCAGCGGCGCGGTCACCCCTCCTGGCCTGCTCAGCAGGGAGCCACCCCCGCCCCACCCCCACGTCAAAAGCAGCAAAAGCAAAAAACAAAATGGGGAGGGGATTTTTTTTTACTTGTTCAAAGAATTATAATAAAATAATTGAGTATCTCCTGTGAGTAATTCCTTTTGTTTTTTATTACTCCACAGCAAGCGGCATTTTCAGTTCTTTACTTAAGTTTTGTATAAAGCAAAATGATTTCTCGAATAGAATGTGTAAGACATTTTTGGAAGCTTTGCTTTTCAGGCTGAATGCTTTCAATGTGGCAACCTCTGACATCCAGCTCCCTCCCGCCGCTGGCATGCTGGTCATTCAAAGAAAAAAGACCGTTTCAGAAATCCCTCGGGGAGATGCCCCTTGGCGGTGGTTCTTCACGGCACTCTGCGTGCGTGTGTTGCCGTCCGAAGTTATGGGACACGGAAGGTGTCACTTCAAGCGCAGATGCCGGCCACTTGGGCTCCTCCGTCTCGCACGGTGCAGACAGCGTGTTGGAACCAACCTCGGTCCCTGGAGTAGATCCGTGTTTGTTCTTTCTCTTGTTTACTGTAAACAGCCAACTCGAATGTCCAAGCCTGGCTGTGCAAACCTCTCTCTTCCTGTGCTCTCTGCCAGGTTGGTTTGTTTTGGCATCAAACTGAGGAGAAGTGGCCCTGCTGTAGGACAGGAAGACGTCCACCCAGAGTGACACGTAGGTATCACCCGCCTTGCCCCCTCGGCTGGCTAGGACCGCGCCCTGGACGAGACCTGGGGTGTGGCTCTGGCCACAGCGTGAGTTCCCTTGGCCGCGTGTGAGCGGGCCAGCGACGCCCCTCCGGGTGCCATTCGACTAAATATAAAGTCCCAGTGCCACCGGCATGCTGTCTTCAGAAGAGCGCGGAGACACAGCCTCTGCGGGGAGCCACCACTATCGGGGTGACAGAAAAGTCAGGGTGTGCTTTTCTATGCTCTTCTATGGAAGAGGCATCATGACTTTTCCGACAACCCGGTAGACACTTCTGGCTCCATGTGGCCAAGGGGCTGCCCAGTGCAGTTCTCTGGCCTGGAGTCCTTTGTGGCTCAGGGACAAAAGGTGTGGCCCCAGGTGGGAGGTCCTGGTCCCCTTCTGGGAAGGTCCTGCTTGGAGAGACCCATGTCTCTAAGCAACAGCAAGTTCCCAGAAGGATCCCAGGTGCTCCCCAAGCTCTGTGGAGATTGTGCTGGAAACCCGCGGCCCGTGCCAGCGTAGAGGGCTGTCTCGGCGTGACGGAGGGAGGGTGTCTCTGGGTGTGTCTGGCCCTGGTCCTAGCACTGCATTATGCTGGCGTCCAGCAGCGAGGTGTAAGCTACGTCTGTCTTCGCGACACGCCGCAGAGCCATGCTCCGCCCCGGCCGTCCCTCAGAGGCGTAGCTGGGCCGAAGCGCCCCTCGCTGCCTGTCACCCACCCTCTGACAGTGGGGTGGTGAGCGGTCTCCCGCCTCGGAGGTGAAAGCCCGGTTTTGGTGTCTGTGCGAGCACCGGGGACTGCGCCCGCCCTCTCCAGCCAGGGTTTCATTCCCCCGTGCTCCCCTTTCCCACCAGGGGATTCCCACCAGGGACTCTTGCGCCGACTCAGGAACTGGGTGGTTTCAGAGAGCAGCCCTCCGCCCCCAGGTGTGTACTCGGCCTGGTACTTACCTCACAAACGGCCGTCGCCACAGTCCGGTAAGCCGGCAAGGCGGGTTCACAGTAGCGGGGGGAAGGCCCGTGCCCAGCAGCGTAGGCAGTTTGGGCGAGGGGAAAAGCCTGGGTGTCTGTCCCGGGAGACCGGGCGTGAGAGCGGAGGGCGGCCCCTGCTGGCCGCGTCCTTGTCTCTGCCGTGCTCTCGGCATCCTCGCCGAGGTGTGGCCCTCCCGGTGTGGGTCCCTCCAGCCTTCTCCGTTCTTTATCGCTCACCTGGGCAGGAGCTCGTGCGGGAAGGGCCCTGTGGTGCAGGGACAGCCCCTTCTACGGAGCCTGAGAGGCTGGTCCTCGAGGCCATGTCCCCTGTGCCCTGGCTCTGCGTGTACTCCTGCCTGGCCCACATGCGGGGCTCCCCGGGCAGGGGCCGGGCTCTCAGCCAGTCCCACCCAACTGCCCACATCTGCTCCGGGTGCCGGTCCAGGGGACCCGAGTGGCCCTGCCAGTGGCCGTCCTCGCTGTGAGGATGAGGCAGCAGGTGCGAGCAGATGCCCAAGGCCATCCAAGGGACAAGAGGAGGCCCCACCCCGCCTGGGACGCGCGGAGTCCTCCGCTCCGGAACAGGGGCGGTCCCGTAGAGACCGGACACTGACCGAGAACACGGTTCAGACAGACGCACTGCCGGCCCTGGCCTCGCCATCGGGAAGGTTTGCATCACCATCTTGGGGAGGAGGCAGGACCTGGCGAGGCACCGACGTGGTGGACAGCCAACGGGCGCAGGCAGAGCGACGGCCGCGTGGCCACCGCAGAACAAGTGTCGTGCTCCCGATGGCATGTTCATCTTACTGTGGGGGAGATGTGTGTCTGTGTGTGGGTTTTGCTTTTTTTTAAGAATCATTTGATTTTATTAATTCATTCATTTGTTTTCATTTGACCTAAGAGAGACAGAGAGAGAGGGAAAGTGAGAAAGCAAGCCATCAGGTCTAGGACTCGAACCATAGTCGGCCATGTGGGAGTGTCTAGCGCCACCTGCCGGCCCCCGTGTGTGGGTTCTCAAAGTCCTCACTGTCTCCCCTCCGTCCCCCCTTTCCTGCAGCATGCTCCAGGTCCCCGCACCTGTTGGGTACAGCGTTCCAAGGAGAGGCAGAGACAGCATGGGGGCCCTCCCTCCCTCTGGGCAGGGCCATGCATTGGCTGCCGTGGGTGGCCAGCACGTGTTCGGTGCAAAGATGACCACGTATGTGACATTGCTGCCTGGGGTCGGGCCGGGGCAAGGACACTTGTGCATTGCCCAGCTGACAGTGGGCGTGCCTGGGGGAAGCGGCACACGGTGGGGAGGACAGTGCCCTTGGCGGAGTGGGCTCGTGCCTGCCCAGCCTGAGTGTGACAGGGGTATGCATGTCACTGTGTGGACAGAGGCTGGTGATGTGTGAGCCATATGGACACGTCACACGCGGGGCTGCGGGGCTGGGAGCAGCGCGCTGCTGGAACCGCTGAGAACCTGGGAGAAGCAGCCCTCCCCGACGCCAGTGCGGCTGATCCAGCGCATTTGTGTGTGGGCTGGGCCTCCTCTGCTCCCTGGGCTGCCCCTCCCACATCAGGTGTTCTCTGTTCTTCATGAGCCACGGCTGCCCAGACCGGGCGTCCGCGGTTACCCGGGAGCCACGGGCTGCCCCACACTGGCAGTGGGCTGACGCAGGGAGAAGGGCGATGCCCTCGGGCCTGAGTAGCAGCTGGTGCGCCCACCACCAGTGCCCTGAGGACCACGCTCTCCCGTGGGCGGAGCTGTGCTGAGGTGGGTTGCGGTCGTCTCTCCTGCGTAGAAGCAGTGGGGGTGGGAGGCTCAGGGGGCTCAGGGTTAATAAACCGACTGGAACCCCAGTTCCTCGTACCCGGGGCCCCGAGCCCTGGGTGGGTCCAGGTGCCCAGGCCGGGCTGGCTCTCCCAGGTGCAGCCCACCGCGGTGGCGGCCCCTTCCCTGCCCAGCACTGCGTGAGGACCAGGTGGCGCTCCCACAGGGAGCCTGAGCGGGGGCCGGGGTTGGCAGCGCTTACTGCCCTCGAGTCTGGGCATAGGCTGACCAGGAAATGGGAGTGGGCGACCCTGCAGGGCGGGCGCCATCCGCAGCAGAGGCCCAGGTGCATGCGTGTGTGCACACGTGCCCACGCGAGACCGAGTGTGTGCAGCCCAGAAATGGGAGCGGGGCCCCATGATGAGCGAGCGGGTCACACGGCATGGGAGGGCGTCTCCCCCCCATCCACGGTAGGTGTGCACTGAGAGCGTCTACACCCGTGTGTGTGTGCGGGCTGGCTGGGAGCCTGTGTGGCCCGAGGGTCCAGCCGGAAGTGCCATTCTGTGCTGTCCCCCAAGAGACAGAGCAGCATGCCTGCCTGTCAGGGGCGCCAGAGATCCAGGGAGTTGCCCACCCTTTGCGGCCTGAGTGGACATGGCGGGCACAGCCCCTGGAAAGGGCAGGTGAGGGAGCACCTTCCCGACCTCTGCCGGCCTGCCGCCTCCTGGGTCTCATCTGCGCAAGCACAAGGGCCAGGCGGGCCGGCCTCTCCGTGTGGAGACTAAGCACACCGGAAGGGCCCCTCCTGCTCGTTCTCGGGGCAGGAGGGAAGGCCCAGCTGGCCAGTCCTCTGCCAAGGGATATGTGCTCTCCTGGCCTGCGGCCGAGGACACCTGCAAGGAGCGCCGGGGCCCTGGCCGCCTACCGGGCACTGCGGCACCCAGGGGTCTGGGGCTTGCAAGGAGGCTCTGGGCAGGGCCCACCCTGCGCATCAAACTCACAGCGTCGGGTCCAGATAGGACAGCCAGCGAGGGTGGACGCACGCCCCGGGCTGCCAGGTAGCGCCAGGGGCTGAGGGTGGGCGGGCCTTGGGCAGCCTCAGGCTGGCTCGGTGGAGAGG